AACAAGACCACTCATAAAATTAGCTCTTCTGTCTGTGCAATTTTCAGACATTACACCGAAATTCACGACAATCTCATTATAGATAAAGTTAGCAACAACTTCTTTGGAAGCAACGGGAACAGCACGAGCTACACACCAATTTGTAGCATAATCGACACCTACCAAAAGCCAGCGATTTCCGTTTAGAGTTGATGGTAAATTCAAAAAATCAAGATGCCAGCGATCAAAAGCAGTAGGAACTTTCAGCGGGTGCATTTCATCATGATGAGCAAGACCTTTACGACTATTTACTTGACAAGAAGGGCATACACTAATCCATTGTTGAATATCTAAACGCATAGATGGCCACCAAAAACGAGGGATCAACATTTTAAGCAAAGTTTTGTAACCAGCATGACCAAAAAAAATCATGATATCGAGCAACAGTATCAGCACGTTCAGCAAAAGGTAAAAAAGAACAAGTTTTATACCAGTCTTTGCAACTACAGCCATCTTTCGATACACTTGATTAGCAGTAACATGAAAGTATTTTTCTTCTTTATCAAGTATGGCTTTAACTTCCGCCGATTTTACCTTTTTTCGCGTTTCTGGGAGTAGTAACATGGGCCAGTCACTTCGAAGTTTGGCAGGTAATTGTGTCCAAGTAACATACAAATAATCGGGTTCCATTGGTTTAACATCAGCGGTAGATTGACTATTGGATTCGAAATTCATGCGAGACAGAATATCAGGAACGGTATTTTCTTTTCCCGGTTTATATAAAATTTCAGGTGAGTATAATTCTAATTCATTGATCCATCTTACTAATCGATTTGGTGGGTTTTCTTTTGAACGAAAATATTGTAAGGGCAAGTGATCAGAATAAACAGTATAACCTTTAGGACAACCTTCAACATAACAACGCCAGGTACGTAGCGCATGTAAGATACCGAGTAGTTCTTTTTCTTGAGCAGGAAGCTTAGATTCAGAGTCAGCAAATTTCTTGGATTCAAAACAAAGTGGATGCCAGGGCAAGTTTGGATCATCATCAGGTTGGAGTAAAGTAGCGCCACAACCACGATCGGAAGCGTCAACTTCAATACGGAAAGGTTTGTCCATACGTACAACTTGTAAAACAGGGCTGGAAGATAATAACTTCTTTAACCTATCAAAACTGACTTGACAATCGTTATTCCATACTATCGGCCGTGTTTTTATACCTGTACCTCTGGTAAGGTCTGTTAAGGGAGCAGCAATAGAGGCGAAGTTCTTGATAAACCTTTTATAAAATTGTGCAAACCCAATGAATTGACGTACCTCCTGTACATTTTTCATTCTTGGCCATTGTTGTACTACCTGTACTTTTTCGGGGCTTGGAGAGATACCAGTCTCAGTGATTCTAAAACCGACAAAGTTTAATTCCTTTTTACAAAACTCACACTTCTTTAAGTTAGCAATGAGTTTTTCTTTTCTTAACACATCCAGAATCTGGCGAACATGAATCTTGTGTTCTTCTAATGTCTTGCTATAAATCAGAATGTCATCGAGATAAACAATGGTAGTCTTGTCAATGTAATCACCAAGAATTCTATTCATCAACGTTTGAAAAACCGGGGGAGCATTACACAAACCAAAAGGTAAAACGAGCCATGAGAATTGTCCATAACGAGTGTTAAAAGCAGTTTTAGGAACATCTTCAGGAGCAATGAGAATTTGATGGTAACCACTACGCAGATCTAGACTTATAAAATAACGCGCGCCACTCAACTTGTCTAAGCATTCGTCGATACGTGGTAAGCTTGAACTATTACGAACCGTGTATTTGTTCACCGATCAATAATCAACACACATACGAAGTGAACCAGGTCTATTGGATCCAGGATCCGGCTTCTTTCGAACAAATAATACACCAGCACCCCATGGAGAAGAACTAGGTTTGATCAATCCCAGTTTCAGGAGTTCGGTTAATTGTTTTTGTAACTCTTCAAGTTCCAGTGGACTCATTTTGTAAGGTGGACGGGAAACGGGTCGAGCATCACCAGTATCAATCAAATGATGAATACCACGATCGGGAGGAAGACCAGGTAGAGTGTCCTTGAATACATCAGTAAATTCTTTGACTAAATCATTCCAATAGGTGGTCTCGTCGAGTGAATATGCACTATCTGGGTGAACGGGTTTGATAACAAAAAGGAAGCTTTCACCGCCTTTTTTAATAATACGATCTGCTTGCTTGTGGGTAATGAGATAATTTAAATTAGGAAGAGAGGTAGGTGAGTAACGTTTTATGTTTGTACATGGTGTTAATATGACACGTCCATTATTTAAATACCAGGTATCTGTGTTCCAATCAGGCAAAGGTCTAGTCTGCTTTAACCAAGAACGACCAAGGATCAAATCAAATTTAGTAGTGAATACAAAGGCTGTGATCTTGTCTTGAACACCATTAAATTGAGAATCATTTCCACCTTGTGCTTGATTTGGGATACCATACCACCAGCAGTTTCGACATGACGATCAGCGACGGGAATAAGATGACGGCTATCAACGGATTGAATAACATGAGGAGAGACATAGTTTTCACTAGCGCCGGAATCAATGAGGACTTGTATAACTTGACCATTGTACATCACAGGATAGAGCGGAAGAGTAGTAGCCATAGCATTAAGATCAGATATATGTTGTAATTCATCAATAAAGGAATTGGGGTATATAATAGGTAGAGTTTCTATCACCATGTGTGGAGGAGTAGTTGCAGTGTTAATATCAGTCGTATTATTGTTATATTTAGTTGGATTAAGTGTAGGATAGAGTGTACTATCTAGTGTAGAATCAGTAGAATAAAGGTCAAAATCAATCAAGTTTTTATTTTCAGGAAAATTGTTATAGTTATCTGTGTCAAGTAGGTGAACTTCCTGTTCTTCAACTACATTGACTGAAAATCCCGTTTTGAGTGTTGATCATCCAACTTTTTGATGTCAGACAACCGAGTACGACAATTTCTCTTGATGTGACCAGACTTGTGACAATAATAGCACGAAGTGTTACTACCAGAATTGCTGTTACCATTACGCGAATTGTAATTGCCATTGTTGCGACCATAGCTGTTTCCATTGTTACGAGAATAATTATTGTTATTGCGAGAGAAGTTGTTGTTGTTGTTACGCGAATAACCGTTGTTATTTCCACGTCCATAATTATCATTTCGAACATAATTAATTTCTTCGGCAACATCCAAATCCATAGGGTCATCCAGTCTAGCTTTGACGTGCGATGAGCGGGGTAGATACGAATAATTTTCTTCTTGTTGGGCACTGTCAAAAGCAAGTGCAGCTTGGATTGCTTGTTTCAATGTATCAGCATCATACTGGCGAATGTGGGATCTCATTTGCTTGCTTGTCAAACCACGGATGAACTTGTCGCATCCTTCTTCGTCAGTCATACCAGGGATAGCCAACTTGATATCCATAAATTCGTTAATGTAAGTGACTAAATCACCTGTTTGTTTTAATACAGCCAGTTTGTCACGGGCAATTCTTGTTGAGTTGTCAGGTCTGAAAAATTCAATTATGAGTCTTTTCAATTCCAACCAAGTAGTAGGAGCATCATCAGTTAATTCAATGGTTCTAAACCAAGCATCAGCACGGTCACGCAATAAAGTGGTAGCGTATAAGTAGCTACGTTCGGGAGTCCAGGAGTTAAAAGTAGTAAATCTTTCAATGGATCTAATCCAGCCGTCAATTAAAAGGGCATCACGAGTACCATCATACACCTCGGGTTCTTTGATTCTTGTCTGTTTGCTATCAGTCATAGCCATGGTAAATTTCTTGATTAGTTCAGCCATATCAGCATTGTAGTTATTCATGTTCTCAGTATTGTTTGTCATTTAGGATTCTGGTGCTACCAAATGTCAGTCTTGTAATAGGTTTAATAGGGTTAAGATTCAACTCTCAGTGGTTAATCAGTTAATAAGTAGATATATACTTTAAATATATAAAATAGAAGATAATGTTTATTTGATACAAAGCTAGGAGCTATTTATACTAGTTTGGGGGATATAGAATGTGATAATAATGTGATAATATGATGTTGATATGTATGGTGATAATATAATAAAAGTATGGTGATAGATATAAAGATTGATTGTGATAAATATAAGTAATCAGGTTATTGAATGTAGAAGTAGTGTTGTGATATTTATAATAAAGTGGTGTTACTTCTTTGGCCGTTTTCTATTGGCATTGGTTATCTTGGGTACAAACTTCCTTTTTAAAAGTTTAGCTTTCTTTAATCGTAATTCGATCTCCAGCGGCATTTCAACGTCCATGGTAGAGTCCGGGTCGGGTTCAAGAGTCCGGGTCGGAATGTGGCTTAGAGAAGCATCAGAACCATCGACAATTATGGGCTTGACAAAATCATATAGGTTTCATAGTGTAATGGTTATCATATCGGTCTTTGAATCCGGTGATCCGAGTTCGATTCTCGGTGAGACCTCTTTTTGGCTCTGTGACCATGTCTGTAGTTGGAAAAAAATTAATTAAAATGTTGAGGAGAGGGCCGGTAGGCCCTCCTAGAAAAATTTAAAAGTCGGATCGTCGACAAATAATTGAATTTAAGAGATGAATTAGATACTTTATTGAGGCTTATATGTTGTTACACCACCTTTTTCTTCTTCTGTTGGTCCTTTAGACTTCAGATCCCTATATTTTTTTGACTGCTTTTTGGTCCTTTTCTTATAAAAGGACCATAAAATTATTTAATAAAATCTTTAGTTTGTTCTTTACTATAATCTGATTTAGTCTTATTCATATAAGCCTGGTTTCATTATAAATATATATAACTACTATAATTGTACGAAAGCCCTTCTTATAAATCAGCACTGAATAGTCTTAACAGTTGTATTTTACTATACTCCTTCGAAGACACAGATAACTGATTCGTCGTAGCGTTTCCCTTTTATATCTTTATATTTTATTTTATCTTAGTTGACAACTTATAGTCTGGTGCTCACTTTTTAAGAACTTTTATCTTAATCTCTACTCTTTTTCTTTACTTCACGTTACCGCTTTTACACTTAAACAAGCCAGTAACAATGTACAATATTTTCTTTTAGAGCTTCCGGGGCAGATATTGCTATGGCAAAGTGCACATGTTCTTGTTTTTTTTCGCTTAGGGTTTGATTCACACATTACAGTGGGTGGTGGTGTATTGGAATAAAGGAGTCGATGTTTTCGTGACGTTGTATGTGATGGGCTTAAAGGTAGATTCATAAGGTTTTGAGGCATAGGGTTTTGAGGCATAGGGTTTTGAGGCATAGGGTTATGAGGCATAGGGTTATGAGGCATAGGGTTATGAGGCATAGGGTTATGAGGCATAGGGTTATGAGGCATAGGGTTATGAGGCATAGGGTTATGAGGCATAGGGTTATGAGGCATAGGATTTTGAGGCATAGGATTTTGAGACATAAGGTTTTGAGGCATAAGGTTTTGAGGCATAGGGTTTTGAGGCATAGGGTTTTGAGACATAAGGTTTTGAGACATAAGGTTTTGAGGCATAAGATTTTGAGGTAGGCGAGATGGAAACATGTTATTTGGGTGCATAGAATAGTTAAAATTGGGAGGCATATTGGAGTTTTGTGCATAGATGTATTGAGATGGCATAATTTTAGGAAGAGGTTTGGATGTCGACGAAGCGTTATCTTGTTGATGTATTTCTTTTGAGTTTTGAATATTTGGCATGATTGTTTGTCCTGGTAATAGGAGGAAACGATTAGCTTCTTCAAGTGGTCTTTTTTCGTATGATTCTTTAATCAAGGTAGAAGCAGAGTCAACTCTTTCTTTGTTTAAAATTACTGAGTTGAGATATCTGCTTTGATCCTCTCTTTGATTAAAGTAATGACGTAGATTTTCTGGTGTTTTGTAAAAAATATTTTTTTTCTTGCCATCATTACACTGCTGAGACCATAAGATGGTGAAATCTTGCCATGTTTTTTCAGAGAACACTTGATTTGCAAGCGAAGGATTATTTCTTCGTAATAACAGATACAACTCCATTTCTTCTTCAGTATGAACTGGAGTAACGGCTATCTTTGTTCCTTGCATATAAGAGAGATACAGATGTTGCAAACCACCAAAAACGGACTTGTTTCTGTTTGTAATTTGTACAGTTGGACTGACACATAGAACTAGCTTGCTTTTGACGGTCATACTTTCGAATTTCTGATAGCAGTTACCATTATCATAGTTTGTAGTATTACGTTGCATATGATATGTGTCAATAAGCTGTTCTGGCATACGACAAATACCGAACGTTTCTGAAGATGCGGCAAGAAAGAGTGTATTTCCACTTGGATCACTATAGGAGGGCAATACATTTTGTTTCATTTCAGCCCTGAGAAAATTAATCGCTTGGTTGATCCAAGGCGAGAAATGGGTCTTGTGAATAACGCCGTATCTGTTTTTTGACCCAACCTAAATTAAAAATCAAGGTGACATTAGATGAAGTACTCATAAGTACTATTAATTATTTTTATAGCAGCTTACTGTTATGTTGTGACGGAGACGGTAATCTGCTAAGACACAGTCGGTAAGAGCGGGACTGGCATTGAAGGACGAGAATTTTCGGATGATATTCTGATGGACACCTCCTTCAACAGAATTTGTGCCTCTCACGCATCTGTACACCTGAAGACCATTTTGATCTTTGCTCATTCGATAGTACCAAGAGACACCAGGAGGATCCGAGACATGCCCAAGTCGAATGGCTTCAAGTACCATGTTTGACACCTTCCAAGCCTTTTTGTCAAAAAGCTTGTTTCCAGAGACAGAACAAATGGCATTTCCATACACCTCAAAAAGCTTTTTCACGACAGGGTATAGCTCGGATGGACTGGGGACATATCGTCTAACTCTCTTGAGCACCCAGTCGGAATTTTTCACCATCATTTTTTCTAGAGATATGTTTCTAGTTTTCAAGTCTTCCGTCACGAGTCTTTCATCTTCCGGGTCATTTACAAACAAGACATCTCTAAACTTTCTTGAGAATTCTTTGGAAAATCCATGCGTTTTTTGAATCGGGATCATATCCATGAGATGGAAAACATCTTTAAGTACTCTTGATGGTAAAATGTTTTGAGCATCAGAGTTGTTTAAGCTGGTATCCAAAGTTTCTTCAGGGCGATTTGCATGATTACTTGTATTTTCAAGACAATCTTCACTAGCAATAAAAAGCTGGTAATGATTTAAATCAATTACAACTTCAAAAGGTGTGTCACCAAAATCACTCAGGGATTTGTTGTTGGTGTTGTCGAAAGAGTCAATCATCGTGGTACCAGGAATAGCAATTTTTGTTATCTTAATTACCGCTTTGTTCTTCATACTATGCATTGTGTCAGTAGGCACCGTAGTGTAACCAAAAGCACAAGCTGGTTTGCTTCCTTTGACATGAACAGATACAAAGGTATTTGGGTTAGGATTTTCAAAAATTTGAGTACCAATTGGAGTAACATGTTGTAAAAAATTGAATATTTCCAATGATACAGGCATCGCATGCGGCATAGTTGATTTGATTTTCTGACAGACTGGTGGAGCACCAATCACTAAGTCTTGGTGAATTGCTATCTTTGGGTAATTTCTTTTTAAGAACGGCGGAACAAATAAAATCCAGCCCAACGTTTGCTTTTTCAATTGCACCTTTGTTCTTACAATAAGTCCCCAATTCTAACTTCCCATGACCCTCGCTCAGCTTGAAGTCTCGCTCCAATTTTTTCATATCTCCACCAACTGCCCGGCCAATTTTAATTATTTTATCATCAACTAAAAAGATCTTCAATGCCTTTGGAAAATTGTTTTCGTTAAACTTGTTCAATCTTATAAGCCAGACGTTATTTTCGTGAGCAATTTGAACCAGAGCCACTTTACCAATTGAAAATGGAGACCGGTTGAAGTACCATTCACAATCAAATCCAACGCATAATGGGCCACGATCTTCAGATATCTTAATCAGATCATTGAGTACTGAATTAATAGCTGTCAGATTATCTAAAACACAGACTTTGACATCTAAAGGAAGGGTATACATCGGAAGAGCCAGATCAGTTTGCACCATTTGATCAGTTTCATTTAAAATTTCTGCGTTGTCTTGATGCTGGTTTTCATTAGAAGTGCTTGCAGCAACAATTTCTTTTCCCTTGCCCTTTCGATCAATTTTTTTTTTTTTGAATAGTGTGAAACATTTTCTTTCAATGTTGGGATCACAGACTCGAGAAATTTTTGATCTGCAGTAACATTATCAGTGAAGACAAACTTTGGGAGATTGCAACCATAGATATTGTAGCTTTCAATCAATTTATCGTAGACAGGTTGAAGATGACTATGAGCTTTAGTCGGAACTAAAGCTTGGGCCCGAATTTCTTCATATTCGTTACACACTGTATAGAGAGCACCAAAAACAGATACACCATTGATTTTTCCCATATGATCCAAAATCTTGAAAGAGTGATCGGCTTTAAGAACTTCTCCACCCAATGACGATGTCATTTGGTCCATGAAAGGCCGAAGATCATTTATGATCGAGCAATATACAAAACTAAGATAACTTGCGGAGGGAATTGATCCGGCGTAATGTTCCTTGTCACCAAATGAAGAAAACTCGGTACTCTCTGTGGCTTTTGTATTCCATAATCCCACCAACGTGTTGTTTTGTGTGTGCTTTAACGAGTCAAGTTAACGAAGCTCGATTTCGTCGTGTCTAAGAGTATGGAATTCTCTTAAAAGGCGACTGACCTTGCTTGGACCAAGAGAATTTTGTGCACCAGCCCTCAGCAGCTTACCCAAATCTTTAGATATTCCTGATCTATGAGTCAAATGAGCAGGGAAATCCAGCTGAAATCTGATAGGCAGCTGCTCAATTATTCGTTTGTCAGATCCAATACATGTACCATGCTCCTTGTTTGGACATTCATAACGATATGTCATCAAGTAAAAATTTCTAAAAAAAAATAGTTAGATACACCAGATTTAATATAAATATGTATACCGGGGAACAAATAACTTACTCATGCACATCCACAATTTTTCGCGCCTTGGGGTCATCCAAAAAACTTTTCTTGTTCAAGGGGTTTGTGCAACCTGGAGTTACGCACTTCAATTTATCATCTCTAGTATTTAACAATGCATGAGGCAGCCAAATAAATACTTTAGGCAAATAAAGGGCTTCCGGTGAGGGCCTTTTTGACAAGGCGAAGTTTGACATCATAGGATTGATCCAGTATGTACCGTTCTTGTACGGATTACGCACATCACATTCTAATTGGATTTTTTGAAGATACTTATCCAATGGACCACCCTTGGTGATTCTGCCTGCATCTTCATCAATATTCAAAAACTCTTCTTCAGTTATTTCATACTCCTCTTCCACAATTGCACTGTAAAATATACAGTTAATCTAAAGTCCCAATTATTTATATAGGCCTAATCTATAAACTCTTACTCGTCGGTGCTTTCTTCATCCACAAGGTAATGTATTCCTTCGACCTCGGACGTAGCGCTTTGCTATAATTAGAAAATATGTTTTTAGCTTGATTCGACTAAAATAATGTTGGGAGTTTACCTCAACTTGTACACTGTTTGGTATTATGGAATCTCCGGAAGATGTGGATACTTCAGGTTCATCCAACGACCCTTCATGGACAAGAGATCCATCTAGGGTACTTTGATCATCAATTACTTCACATTTTTTTGATAAAAAATTCAGAATTGATGTATTCCTCTTGGGAAGAGTAGACTTTCCAAGACTTTTTTTTGTCGGTTTCATTTAATATGTAATTGAAGAGAGAAAAGTGTTATGTACAGCATTTAAATCAACATTTATAGTGATTGATCCTCGTGGCAATATCCACTGCGGGTACGAAAGTTACAGAAAATACAGACATTTAATTGGCTCTGAATCTCAACTTACAGAAATTTAAGAGAGAAGATTGGCTTGAGATTGAAATTTACAGAATTTATTAAAATTTGGTTGGGTGAAAAAACTACAGCCATAAGGAGAGAGCCCTCTTTTTTGGCAGGGATAACATAGCTGGGGGTAATACAGACCCCTGGATACTGTCGTACTTTTTTTCGGTCTCTTAATAATAATTAGATATAGGGTGTTCTCAAGCAAATTATTTAAAATTTTAAAATCTTGATTTTAATTAAAAATATTTGACCCCACCACTATGGAGGGGTCAAATTTTTAAAAAATATTTTCTAGCATTAAAATATCGTTTTAACTCGAAAAAGTACTAAAATCACGTTCACTTCCACGTCCACGTCCACGTCCAACGATTCCATTCTGGCTGCTCTCAGGCTGACCATCAATAGGGTAAGAAGCATTATTTTGGTTGTTCATTTTTAAAATAGGTATAGGCAAAGGTAAAGTATGTTTATTTTGATAAGAATACAAGAAAGAAATAAAATAACATTGGCCTCTGTGCCTTGTACAAATGACAGTTTAGCATTTTCCCAAATTGGAGTTGTGTTTTTTTGTGACTTTTGATTTTAATTAAAGGATTTATTTTAAAATTTTAAATAATTTGCTTGAGAACACCCATAAAATAGTATAATTCATATTTGTAATAAAATCGTCTTTTGATCTCCTAACTAAATATTTTGTATCTTGGATTAATTACTATAAGTCTTACCACAATCCTGATTGTATTGGCCCCTGTGTCGGAGTACACATTAGACATTTATATATTTCTTATTCACACAAAATAATAACGATCATCTTTTATCTACTACTCTACTTTTCTAAACATCTATCACTTAACTTTAGATCAGACCCTGACACCTGAGATTCATTTTAAAATTCAATATCCAATAAATATGCGATCCAGAGGCTGTGACTAATTTCTACAGCCAATTGAATAGCAATCCAGAGGCCGTAATTTAATATTTATAAAAAATGCTTTAACCAGGACAGTAAGTGGTTACGAACAGCTGGTGATATGCAATTATACGAATTGCAACATACAAAGATTGATTTTTGACAATGGACGACTTCAATATAACTTTTTATTTTTATTTTTAACGGATTTTGCTTGCTGACGTAAGCT